GTAGCTTTGGAGCCTATCCTGGCACTCTCTCTGTAGACCAGGCTGGCCTCAAGCTCACAGAGATCTGCCTGCCTCTGCCTCCCGAGTGCTGGGATTAAAGGCGTGCGCCACCAATGGCCGGCATTTTTTTTTAAATATTTATTTATTTATTATGTATACAGTGTTCTGTCTGCATGTACCCCTGCAGGCCAGAAGAGGGCACCAGCTCTCATTACAAATGGTTGTGAGCCATCATGTGGTTGCTGGGGATTGAACTCAGGACCTCTAGATGAGCAGTCAGTGCTCTTAACCTCTGAGCCATCTCTCCTGCCCCAGGTGTGTTTGTTTTGTGTGCATGTGTGCCCATGTGTATGTAGGCGCACATATGTGATAACCTCAGGCGTCATTCCTCAGGAGCCATCCACCTTCACTTTACTTGAAACCTCCCTTAAATACTTGCTTTTAATTGTAAGGTTTCTTAAATTTTCATTTATGTGTATTTTCATTTGGGTGTCTAAGGCCACCAGAGGGGGCTTTAGGACCTTTGCAACTGGAGTTTCAGGCACTTGGGAGCTGCCTGAAGTTGGTGCGGGTACAGGTGCTGGCCATCTCACTAGCTTCAACTTTTTTTTTTTTTTTTTTTTTTTTTTGACAGGGTTTTACTATGTAGCCCTTGCTGGCCTATAACTCACTATGTAGACCAGGCTGCCTCTGCCTCTGCATCCCAAGTGCTAGGACTAAAGGCCTGTATGTGAGCATGTTGTTTCTAAACAACTTTGACAACTTGGTTCACTGAGTCCTTCAGTAATCTTTAAGACAGACAAGTTGTGCATTGTCCCCACACGGGAAATTCAGGGAGATGGTGTGTTGGTCTGTTTGGACACAATGCGTTTTTTTCAGTTTATTTTGGTTAACCTAACACAAATAAAAAACTAAAAGATTGTCCTATTTTTTTTTGTTGTTCTTTTATTTTGAGATAATTTTAGATTTCTAAGAATTAGGAAAATTGTGAGAATTTCCATCTAGCCATGGACCAGCTTTTCCTTTTGTTAGTGCCATATGTAAGCATACCACAGCAATGATTATGCAATGAATCTTGTTTTTTTTTTTTTTTTTTTTTTTTTGTGAAGATGGGTTTTCGTGTCTAGGCTTGGCATGGATGACAGGGACTTTCTGGTCCTTTTGGTCCTCCAATCTTCACCTCAGGAATACTGGGATTATAGGCATGTAGCACCATGCCTAACCTGTGCTGGGGTTTGCACCCAGGGCTCTGTATGTGCTGCCAACTGAAATACGTCCTTGAGCTACATTCATCTTATTCTTTGTAATTTGTTTGATTTTTGAGATCAAAGACTCATTGTTTCACTTTGTCTCGTTTGGAACTCTCTATGTAGACTAGGCTAACCTAAAATTCATAGAGGGCTACCTATTCTGTCTCCCAAATATTGGGATTAAAAGTGTTTGTCCCCATGCCTGGCTCTCATATGTCCCATGATTACATTCTTAAGTTTTAATCAAAGGATGCTAAAAGCTCACTTTGTATTTTCCCCTCCATAATAAGACTGTGTATCCCTCCCTACCTGGCCTGGAATCTACTATGTAAACCAGGTTGGCCTTGAATCTAGAGATCATCTGCTTCTACCTCCCAATTAATGGAATTAAAGGTGTGAGCCACCATATTCCCCTATGACTCCATTTTTTGAGGAACTTGTAGTGAGTATCATGTTACAAACAATATGAAGGACGGTGTGTGCTTACTGTTACTGTAGTATATAACTCCTCTCAGCCAATGGGTAAGTATGCATATAAACTTTTTTAGACCGTACTTATGTACTCCAGGCTGTCTTGGAAATTGGCAATCCTTCTGCCTCAGGCTCCTGAATACTAGGATTATGGGCCTTGCCTCCTTGCCCAGCTAAAATGGTTTTTGGGGTTGGGGTTGGTTTTTTTGTTTTTTTTTCTATAGAAAAAATGTTGGTCAATATCTTTATCAATCCAATTCCACAGGCTCATCATAAGCTTCACTCTTATTTATAATAGCCACCCATGTGAAGGCTGGATCATTGACTACAGTATATTAGTTTTTAACTTGAACAAACTAATTTTTTATTCTTTTAAAACAGAGTGTCTCTGTGTAGCTCTGGCTGTCCTGGAACTCGCTCTGTAGACCAGGCTGGCTTGGACTCAGATCTGCCTGCCTCTGCCTCTGCCTCTGCCTCCTGAGTGTTGGGATTAAAAGCATGCATCTCCATGCCTGGCCCATGCTTTTTTGCTTTTCTCATTTTAACATTAAGTAAGCTTTTATTTATGATATATCTAACCTTTATCCTTTCGAGGAAAAAAAACCATCTTGAATATCAATTATGTGGTTTTTTGAAATGGGGTTTTACATACTGCCCATGCCCAGGCTGTCCCAAACTCCTGTGCTCCAGGGATCCTTCTTTGTCATCCTAAGTAGCTAGGTGCATGCCCTGGGACCCAGCTAGTGTACAGTTCTTACAGTCTTTGAACTTTCAATATCACGCCTTTAATCCCAGCACTCGGGAGGCAGAGGCAGGCGGATGGATCTCTGTGAGTTCAAGGCCAGCCTGGTCTCCAGAGTGAGTGCCAGGATAGGCTCCAAAGCTACCCAGAGAAACCCTGTCTTGAAAAACCAAAAGAGAAAAGGTTCTCAACTTCAAGATTACCTTAGCGCCTTTCTTTTCCTACCCTCTGCATTGTGAGTCTGTGATTTAGTGTTACTATAGTTAATCATGGCTGTCTGCAATCTTCCTGATAATTCCCTGTGGTGACCCAGCGTTCTGGCTACCACTGTTCTTTGTCCTTTTAGTTTTCCCTTTTTCATGGTGTTCTATAAATAGACTCACACAGTGTATAGTCACATAGTATGTAAAACACAATTACGTTTATCCATCTGTGTGACGCAGTGCTTTGGTTTGCTAAGTAGCATTCCACTAGTTGTTCCACTGTAATTCATTTACCTACTTAAAGAATTTGGCTCATTTCCAGTCTAGCATGCTTCTGATCAGACATTTATGTCTTCATTCTGAAGGGAATTTTATGCCTGTGAATAGGATTGCCTGATATGTGAGAATATAGACTTGGCTGTTCTGACCCATGTTCTGGGAAGTAGTCTCTGAATCCTTGTACTCTCCTAGGTGACAGGAGTCATTTATGGTTGGAAGCTGGTAGTTTAAGAAAGCCCACCGTGTGATTTGTTGATAACGTTCTAGATCATTTAAACCCAGGCAGCTGATGTAGAAGCCTGAGGGAGTATGCCAGCTTTACAGCACCATGCCAGGAAGGTCACCTGCTGGTGCAAGAAACATCACATTTGGACCCTGAGAACACCTCCCCAATGTGTTTACCTTCACTGGTTCATAATTGCATGCTTTCTTCAGAATGAAACCGTGATCACAGTGCCTTCCCGAGTTCTGTGCAGTGTTCTAGTGAGTTACCAAACCTCCCCTTAATGGTGGAAACCCCCAAACTTGGAGCCAGCTGGTCAAGTGTAAGGGTGGTCTGGGGACCTGAACTTGAAGGTGGTCTTTGAAGCAGGTTCATCTTGTAGAAGACTGTGCCCTAAACTTGTGAGTTTGGCCTAAGTTCAGGACACTGGTGTCATGTATAAGTATATGCTAAACTGTAAAAAAGCAGATAAACTTCTGTGAGAGGTACTATGACGTGTTTTGCTTTTTGATTAGTATTTACTGAAGTTTACAAAAACAAAATCTGCTTGAGGAGTGTCAGCCACTCTGCAGTTTGGGCTGTTTATCCATCCACTGCTCTGTTTGTGAAAACTTTTTCTCTGGCTGACACATTAGCAGGTGAGGCCTGCTTACTATAGGGAGTGGTGTCTCCTCATGTGCCTGCAGTGTCCTGCCTCCACTTTCCCCACTGTGAAGGTGGGGGTCTTTTCATCTTAAACTCTGGTTTCTCACCTGGAGAAAAGATTTCTCCAAACAAAGATCATTCTTGATGACTTTCCACACTGAAAAACTAGTTAATAGCCTATGTGTCAGGACATGTTTTTTTGCACCATGAGGTCAGAACACCTTTACCTGGAGATTCTGTGATGGCGTATCATCAATACTAACAGCTGCTCCACGAGGAACTCTTTGTTACTAGACAATATTTGAACAGTTTGAAGAGTCAGAAAGAAACTGACAAATAAAAGTTCTTCCGTAAGTTTATTCTGAAGCCAAACAAAAGTAGGCTCCTAAAGTTTATTGGTTGTTATTCAGGTAACAGGCATCTGGGGAGCAAGCCAAAAGCTAATGGTGGGGGTGGAATGGACCTAGCCCAGGGCCACACATCTTTACCTTTGAGAGAGATCCTTTTTTGATAATTAGTAAAGTCTTAATTCTAGTAATTGTTATACTAGTGATTCACTTAGAATAATTATGCTGTTACTTTAGAAAGAGGTGTTCATTGTAATTATCAATTTTTAAGGATTTTTTTCAAACATAAATAATTATTAATCAAAATGTTCATCATCCCTACAAAGCAAGGCCCTTCGAATATATCTTCCTTATAAAGTTATGCTATGGCCTAAATGAAAAAGAAATTAGAAGTTTTAAGATTGTTGTGACTGTGAAATAATTCTTGAAATAATTCTTGCTGGTAAATAAGGAATGTGTTATCTGGGTCCATACCTTTCACTGGTTCTCAACCTTCCTAATGCTGTGACCCATTAATAAGGTTCCTCATGTTGTGGTGACCCCAACCATAAAATTATTTCATTGCTACTTCATAACTAATTTTGCTAGTTATAAATTGGAATGTTGCCGGGTGTTGGTGGTGCAAGCCTTTTATCCCAGCACTCGGGAGGCAGAGGCAGGTGGATCTCTGTGAGTTCGAGACCATCCTGGTCTACAAGAGCTAGTTCCAGGACAGCCTCCAAAGCCACAGAGAAACCCTGTCTTAAAAAAAAAAAAACAAAACAAAACAAAAAAATTGGAATGTTAAGGCTGAGGAATCTGCACTGAGTAACTCAATAATTTATGAATAAGACAAATAACTGATTTTTTTAATTGCTGAGTTTTATTAAGATATTGGCAAAATTTTGACATACTCCTTACCTGAATAAACAGTTTTAATAAATAAAACATGAAAGATCACTTATGATTACAACTCAACTCAAAAGTGATCTGTAGAGTGGGTTTGTAAATCGAAACTTCACTCACTTCACTCCAGAGAGAATTCTTTGCAGAGAAATGTCATGAATAAGAGAAAGCTTGTCTCTCACCAAAGAGCACCTAGAGAGATTACAATGATGTATCTGCATTATCTCATACACCAGAGAAAATGAAAGTATTTCTTCTCAAGAGTGACTGCTGTGTCAGTGGAACCCCTCCCTCAGGTTTCTAATTTAGTATAATAAATTAGTGGTTTGTTCAATCAGTACTATTTTTCTGGATGCTAGAATACTGGCATGTCATTTGTTTTGAAGAAACAAACATTTTATAGATCAAATCCGGTCTTTGGATCCCAAAGAAAAGTTTTCCCAAACAAAGGTTTGAACAAAACTGTAGTATCCTCTTTTATAGCCCTAGATGAAAAAGCTCAAGAATTTAAAAATTAAAATAATTTAGACCTTTTTCTCATAAAACCTCAGCAAGCCTTTGATGGGAGGAAGCCCTTGAAGCACAGCAGCTTGTCTACAACCCTGAACTGCATCACTTTTGCCTGCCTGCCCCTTGGATGTTGCACAGTGTTCTACAATGGAGTGTGGTGTCATGAAAATGCAGTGTCGCTGCTAGACCACTATCAATGTGGTCAGGGTTAGGCTTAGTGTTGATATTACTGACATTGTCCTTTGAAAAGATGTTACTTTCAAGGTGCCTCCTCTTTAACTAAATGCAACATGAACTCTAATTATATTACTTCAAGGACAATGGATGGCACTTGTAGGTAAAGAAAAAGTATATACACGTTTTCTGTCTGACCTCTGTTGTACAGACATAAATAGAATTGATAGCTCCAGTAGTTGGTGCTATAATGTTGCCAACCTCGGATGTCCTTCCCAATGTACATATCTAAAAAGAGTGAAGAGGGAAACCTTTGAAATTAGTGACTCACAGTGAATGTACAAGGAGTAGTAACCTCAGTTGGTGACTTGAAGTCTGCTTTCCTATCAGATACTACACTTTCTTGTCTATGTTTGTTTTGCTATTTCCTACTGTGACGAAACTGGTTTAGCAAGCAAACAAATGTATGCAGATCATGGTAACTGAAAACAGGGATACTGCCACTCTTTAAGGATCGAGTGTTGGACTTTCACCACCACTAAATTGCACAATGAAATAGAGGTACAAAACACACAACTTACAGACTATACCTCAGCATTTACAGTTAATATATATTGTATAGTTACTTTTATATCTGCCTAATATTTTTACAATCACCAGATACACCATCATTAAATATAAGTTACAGAAATGTATAGATACCGTTAGTTAGAGGATTACTTATTGCTTACATTAGCAAGCAGCAAATGAGGGCAGAGGATTTGAACTGAAGGGAACTACTTCTTATCACCAGTGGCATTAAGGTTTAACACTGCATTTCACAAAGCACTGCTTCTCATCTGGTTTATAGAACCAACAGCAGCATATATCAGGCCAATAACCACTACTTTAATATTATAGAATGTTAAAGGACTTACCGTACAAATGGTATCTAACTACCTTATAAATACGTACATTGTGAACAAATGAAAAGTTAGTTTTTACAGTATTGGTTTATTAACTTGACCACACTAGAAGTACTTTTCTCTATTTTCTAAATAGAGAGCTAATGATATGAGAAATGGAGTTAACACTGCTGTGTAGTCAGACCTACAAAATCCAGACCTTTCAAAGTGGGTCTGTTTGCCCTAGTTTCATCCACCCATTTTTTACCAAAAAGCCTATCACCTCGTGTTTTACCAATAGATAACCACAGAAATTCTTCAGTACTTAGCTATTTTGGGATATGATGTACATCTGTGTTCTATGTTCTACTGCCTCTGTTTTCTTGTTTCTTTAGAAATTTGGTTTGAAACTGGCCCCGCACGTGATGGGTTTGTCATCAAGATCTGGGCTTCAAACAATGACTGACATGAGTGAGGTCCATTATGGACGATCGTCAGAAAGGTGATGAAGTCCTAATACTGTTGAGGTGGAGCCACATTTATTCCTCTTCATCAGTGTCTCAAGACTGGAGGGAAGAATAAACGACTCCAAGGTCAACAAAAACAAATACTGAAAGCTCCAACTTAGAATTTAGAAAAATAAAAGCTGTAGGTTAAGAGTTTGACCAGTGCTGAAGAGAAGCTGTGTTTTGGTCCTTAATGGTTTGATGTAGCTCTGCTGGTACCTCTAACATGCTAGAGTCATCCATTTGTGAAATTTGAGGGTCTCCGTCCTCTCTGGATCTGGAGAATGCAACATGAATTGTGTTGTTACATAGAACATGATTAGGCAAGAACACTTAGTAGCGACACCACTTGTGAGTGATGGCTCTAGCAGCTACTCCTGTCTGTTGGCCTGGAGTATGATGGTGTGGGGAACATGGGAACATGGAAACATTCATGACTGAGATAGTGGATTTGCTGTTTTTAGGTGAAGACAGGTTTCTGGTTTGAAACGAGAAGCGCATGACCTGTCACTATAGTCTGAAGCGGGTAGCTGGACTCTGGCTCGTCTTCCACTTACAGCTAAACAGCCTTGGCCCTCAGTAATTTGCATTCTCCTGTGCACATGGTCTCTGGGTTCTCACTCAGCCTCCTTCAAACCAATTACTTCATTCCCTTGGGGAAAACAATTAAAACTATCGTTTCATTATTCAAACTATGTTTATATTACTTTTAAAAATAAAAAAAGCAGAAAATATAGAAGTGATATTTTCATAACTCCTCTTAAATGGCATTTGAGTCTTCTGTCATAGCTGCCATTATCTCTTAACCTACTTTTATTCCTGAGATTTCTGAAGAAAAGCATCATAGCTTACAGCCAGCTGACAGAGGTCTCCTAAAATGAGCAACAAAATTCCACCAAAAGCACCATAACAGGTTACGAAACTCTCAAATAAAAACCTTGTGAAATATTTTAATTAAAAATATTCATAGTTGCCTTTAAGTTATCTTACTGCATACTGCCGCAGTGACACTTTGGTACTGGCTCACTGCGTCCTTCCGAAGTTAAGACCTGTGTGGCTTTTGGTCTCTCACCCAAACAACTGGAGAGGCATCCTTCATGGTCCCCGGGATCTGCCCTCTTTCCTTTAGATTAGGCACATCATACCAGATACTTGCGATTTCCATACCATGTATTCTGACTGGAATAACTTCAAAGCTTCCACTAGTGACGTGAAGGGATGGTGGAGAGGGGGCTGTATGTAGGTATAAAGACACATCACAGGGACCAGTTGTATGATTTTGCTAGTGAAACCGCCAATACTTTTTAAAGATTGAAAACACTATTTTGAGTTTCCTAGAGATCTATGTACATTTAAGGATTGAGCCATCAATGGATTCATAATGAAGCACATGTATGTTAAAAATGTCTACCTTGTTTCTACTCTGATAGTTGTATTTTTGAGAGTGCTAGCTAGCCTACATTGAAGAAAAGTCTTATATTTTATAGCTCCAGGGAAGGTCTGGGCATGGAATATCATTACACTTTCTAATCTTCATGTTTCCACTATATCCTTCCCAGCTATTTTCCCTCCATGGCAAAGAACTTCTTAACATCTTGTTTCTCTTCCCACTTCGGGTAAGTGAGGAGAGGCTAATGCCTATTTTATGAGAAGGCTCTTGAGCAGTAAGAAATGAATAAAACTTTGGATTAAACCTGAATCCACGCTGCCTTTTGGAGTAGTGGTGGCGTAAATGATACAATCTAGACGCTGTTTTCCCCAGGGATTTGAACTGTTCATTTTCCAACCCAGGACAGACGGGAGACAAGCTCTCCATTCTGCATATCTGTTGCCCTGTTGAACCCAAATTAAAAGAAGCCAGAAACTCTCCAGCACCACTCCGTTCAGGCAATGATGACTTGACTGATTTTTCCTCCATTATTAGCTCATTAAGATCTGCTTTCTTTGGTGCACCAGGACCAATCATCTCAACTGATGGCAAAAATTGGGCACTGTGAGGTTTGCTTGCTTCTATTTGTGTGAGATCTAGGTAGTCTGGATCTTCCAGCACGTTGATTTGGGGCCCTGGGCTCAGGCTAGTTCTATCAGTGAATGAATCCACTCGCCCCTCATAGCCTAGATCGGCTGGTGCTGAGCACTGGTGCTGAGGCCAAGGGCGTTTGCACTCTCCATGATTCTCCTTATCATCCCCACCATCTTCTTGCCCTCCTTGAAAAGAGTTGTCTGTCCAATCTGATTCCTCACTAACATTTACAGCTTTGTTCATGTCCCTCAGGAATACCACAATAACAGTGATGTTATCACTCGACCCTGCATCTCGAGCTGATGCTACTAATTTGTGGGCAACCATGCTGCTGTCTCCATTATTCTCTTTCAAGTGGTCAGACACCACCTTCACTGCCTCATCAGGGTTCACGGTATCATAGAAGCCATCACAGGCCAGAATGAGGTAGTCTTCAGTCCCATCCAAAACAGTTGAGGCAGAATCTGCATCTCCACAGATGTATGGCTTATGTTCAGCATCTCCTGTGGGAGTTAGAAGGCAAGGTTGTCAGAAGGCAGGTTGTGGCTCACCTAAATTACAATTTAATTACATTAAAAATTGTAATTGAAACACTTGAATGCTATGTTACTTTGATGTTTCGTATACTTTAATTCCAGTTTAAAACCCGAAAGCTGCAGGGCTCAATTCCTCATGAGTTGTATACTCTCGACCTTGTGCCTCTGACTACTGTTTAGTCTTTGCTGATTAAAGCAACAAATCACATCAAATCTAAATTTGTTGTTGTGCTGAAAATATCAGTCATACAGTAGTTCTGTTCTCTTAGGTTTGGTTATTAATTGCAACTTGAGAACATTAGGGAGGGGAACCCTAAGTTCTGCCTGTTTTCCTCGTTAAGGTTTGAGTTACAAGAGATTTAAAAGCCAGGGAAACTGGGGGCCGTATCCACAATCCCACACAATGACCTAGGCTTCTGGTCCACGTGGCTTCTCTTTGATGCTGTTGTACTTAATGTCTGTAGAACAGACAGAAGGTCCACAGTAAGTTTCCTCTTGTCTTCACAGATGACCCACGGTGTTGATGTTCACCCCTGAAATATTATTTCTAGTATCTGCTATAAGTTCCCTCTTGCTTCAGATTTCTTTCAGACATGTCAGACATGTGGATAAGCTATAAACAGTGTGGGCCATATGCTGTATGCAGCACGTTGAATAACTAGATAATAGGAAAATGGATATTTACTGAATATAATTATTTAGGTTAATGTATTTGCAAATAAGAAACAAATGGCCTTTTCACCCTACATATTCCCAGCTTCACTCCTATTCTGACATGTTCATCCATCTTCATCCACTGTCCTGCCCAATTTTTTTTTTTATTTTATTTTTTTGCCTTGAGCCAAGATCTCATTCATATAGTCCAGTCCAGGCTGGCCTCTAGCTTGCTTTGTAGCCAAGGCTACCAGAGGCTGGAATGGTAAGTGTGCACCACCACTCTTACCTCTTGAAAGCATGGTTTTGATTTAATTTGTTACTACAATGACCCAAGAGACTGTTAAGTTCTAAAGGCGAGATCAGTGTCCCCACCAGTCCACTTTATTTAATTGCCCCATTCTCCCTGATTGAAATATTTTCTGAACTCTACTTCTAAAAATAAATGTGATCTGAGTTACATTTGTTTTAGTGCTAACGTTAAAAGCCTAGTGTAGCTGCTGGTTCAGAACAGAACATACAAGATTTGCAGAGAGGCAGCAGCGCCAGGACTCTGGTTTTTCACCCGCTCCATGTTGTGTGTCAGATTCGTGGCATTTCGCCCCCAAGTTTGGTAGGAGGGCACAAATACCCATCTCCTGGTGGAGATGGCAGCATCCTGTGTCTTCAGCCTCCTCTCTCCATATGCTAGAAAGCATACAAGCCTGTCAACTCTGGCTCATAAATGAAGGGCTCCTGGGTTAAACAACTGAGCTTTTCGTCATCAAACTGCTCCTTAGCCCTGTTCCTGTCCCTTTTAAAGCCCTTTGCAGTGAGTCTCCCAGTCTTCCTTATTTGTCAACTTCTTTATCTGTTAAACTGAATCTTGGTAGATTCATTAATTTCTTACTTAAAAGAAATTTCTTGAATTTTCTCAGTCTTAAAACCAAAGGAAAAGCCCACAGTCCCTCCTACCACCACCACTTGTGGCCTGGGGGTGGGGTGGGGTGGGTAGAGTTGACCTCCATACACTGCGGTAGTCAGTTATTTGTCTCACTTTTGATTCTCTTCTACTTACTCTTCCTACAACTATATTCAATTTTTTTGTTTGTTTTTTCGAGACAGGCTTTCTCTGTATTGTTTTGGAGCCTGTCACAGAGATCCGCCTGCCTTTTCCTCCCCAGTGCTGGGATTAAAGGCATGCGCCACCAATGCCTGGCTCAATTCTACTTTCTTTTCATTTTCTTTTTTTTTTAGACACTGTAACTCCCAGTGCTGTCAGCCTCCCAAGTGCAGGGATTACAGGCATGTGCCATCATGACCATCTTTCCATATCTTACTTAGTATGTTCTTAAACTTACCAACATTTCTCTCATACTACTAGTTATTTCCTATTTAAAAATGCCATTTCTTTAAAAAAAATAGTTTATGTGTTTTGTTTGTATATGTAAGTTCACCGCATGTGTACCTGGTGCCAAGTATGTTAGAAGAAGCCATCAGATCTCCTGGCACTGGAACTAACAGATGGCCATAAGGTATCACATGGGTGCTGGGAACCAGAGCAACAAGTGCTTTTTACTGCTGAACCATCTCTCCAGCCCGTGGTTCCTTTTTTTTTTTTTTAATCCATTTCTCACAGAACCTCTGCAGTCCCTGACTTACAGGCCTAGAAGCTCTCTTTTTCTGGCATCTGAAATAATTGCATTTACTCTTTCCTTCATCTTTTCCTGGTTTGTTCCTTGACTTAATGGTACAGCTGTCGTGGTTAGGAGTTAGGAATGTGTCTGGCTCAGTTCTGAATGAGGTATATACTCTGCCACCTCACACATGAATCCGGAACTGGATGCTGGTACTCTCACTTTACAAAGGAGCAAACCATTTTGACATTAGTGTTCCAAGATCAATAGCCTATAAAATGGCAGAGCCAAGATCCAAACCTAGAGTGTGTGGCTACTGTGTTACCCTTAAGTCTTCTTCACACAGTATGTACTTTCTGGGCAGTGTTACTCATGCCTGTAGTTTCAACATACGTGGGTACACACATGGTAAATGCTGTGCCTGATGGAATGAGTTACTAAATCCTTGTCTCCAGCTCAGCTTTCAGCTAAACTCCAGATCTGTATTTCCAAGTACATACAAAATCTCTTCCAAGACTTCCCATCAGTACCTAGAACTGAAAATATGTCCAATTGAATTCACCCCCTGCCAACTGCTGCTTCTTTATTACAAACACTTTATCGTCTTCCTACTCACAAGTCAGAAACCTGGAAGTTAGTTTTCCTCTTCCTCACAAACTATCATCTGTCTCGCCAGTTTATACCCTCCTCCGTGTCTCCCTTTTTAGATGTCCTCGTCTCCAGCACTGTCCCCACAGCCTTCTGCATGAGCTCCCATCAAAGCTCTTCTACATTAGAGTCTGTATTCTACGTTGTGACTACAAGTGCTTGAAAAGACAAGCCTGGTTGTGAGGTCCCTCTGCTTATGAACCTCTGAAGTCCAGACTATTTAGGGTCAAATCTGAAGCCCACCACAAGCTGGTGTACCTAATAGCTCTTGCCTCCCGTACTCGTTGCTATTCCTAAAAGTATTTCTATCCCTGGCTTTCCCTCCCTAAAGGTGCATCACCCTATCCAACCAAAAGGTCACTTTACCTATGATTTCAACCTTACTCCATCTTAGGGTGTCATTTACTCAAGGGCATTCTTAACTCTGCTTTCCTTTCACCTTGTATTCTCTTTTTTAGTATCGAGGCCAGCAAGGCCAGCATCTACTTAAGTTGGCTATGTAGAGATCCATGTCAGTCTCCTGACACACACTGTCAGAAGAGCATGAAGAGGTCTTGACAAGCTCTGGTTGTCAAAAATAATTGTATATAAGAGTGTATTTCAGGCATGAGAATTTCCCCCTTTTGGCCTTGTTCCAAAGTACCTAATAGCTCCCTCATTATGAAGTAAAACTATTCTTCATGAGGTATTTGTACTCATGATGCTCACATCTGGGGCACTTGCCAGCTTGCCAGCAGCACCTTTTCAAAGAGTGGGAAGAACTCAAACCACTGACACAGTGAAACCAAAACTTGCAGGTTTTCTTGTTCTGAAACCTTTGGTAATGAGATACAGACTTTGTCTGTGCTAGCTGTATGTCCAGTCACTCCTCTGGGGAGGTAAAGATTGAGGACTGCTGTATGCATGCACATTTGCTTATCTACCCACGAAACACATATTTGTTTTTCAAGCAGTCAGCCCTGAGCATAGTCACATGAGCAACACTAAAGGAAATCTGTGCTGAAGAAGAAAAAGCAGCTGGGACTTGAAGCTAACCATGAGGCTGACCATGTACAGCATGACAAAGGTGATACAGGCAATCCCTTCAAGCCACCCCTTTGAGTCTGTTTTATAGCAGCTTTGCCCTTTTAAAACATTTCTGAGGGCTGGGACTACCTGGGTGGGTAGAGTCCTTGCCTAGCAAGCATGAGGCCCTAGATTTTCTCCCTAGCAGGTTTGAGGAGAGGGGGGAAGAAAAAAATGAACTTGAACAAAAGATTATCTGACAAATTACATTTTCTGGGCCAGGTGTGGTGGTACACACCTTTAATACTAGCACTCAAGGCAGAGTCCAGCCTGATCTATATAGAGAAACCCCCCCCTCTCTCTCTGAAAAAAAAATATATATTCCATATTTCAAAAATAGTTTTATAAAGTGTGTTGTTTCTAAGAGTTCTGCTTATATTTTATAATTCACCAAAAAAGAGGTAAAGATAGAAGCAATATGAAGTTTGGAGAAAACCTTCCATTTTCTGGAAACATGGAATGAAATGATCATTTCGGTTTTAATCAGATTTATACACTAACTTGGAGGGGTCTCTTAAAAGAATAGAAACTGGTAAATGCAACATTTCTTAAGATGATTCTTAGCTTGTAATGAATTAAATATATAAATAGCCAGGTGTACTTACTTTGGAGAAACAAAATGTTTTTTCCTACCTATAGCTCTGGAGACTGATAGGCTTCCATTCACCCTCCAGGCACCAAACCACACCACACAACCTCCAAGGGCCTCGATTCGCTGCTTTTCATCCTAGAGCAGTGCAATAAAAAGCAAATAATTGGATTCAGGATTTATTCATCCACTTCACAGTATACAGATACATTGCCCATCATCTCTGTGAAAAGGTTTTCTGTATTTCTCCTGTAGGAGGAGATTAAAGCCAATAGTAATACTCAGAGGATCCTAATTAATAACTACAAAAGTGCCATATGGCATGCTCTATTAGAACAGACAATACATACCTCTCTGTCTGGTTTGTGTGGTTTCATTAGTTCAACAGCTTGGCCCTTTCTTACAAGCATAACCTGGGAATCGCCCACCCATGCAACGTGGAGCATGTTGCCTCTGATAAAAGTCACTACTCCTGTGGTCCCACATCGTAGGCTCTGAAAATAATTTAAGACCAGAGTCAAAGAAAATAAGAGACACCAAATTCTCATTAAGAAGCAATTTATAATTAATACAAGCTGCATTTGAGAGATTATTAGTAATATTATTTCATATTACAAATTCATGTTTCTCAGAACATTTTTGAAGTAAGGTCTCAATGTGTAGCCCTGGCAGCCTGGAACTTGCTGTATAGACCAGACTGGCCTCGAAATTACACAGGTCTACCTGCATCTGCTGCGATGAAATTTGTGCACCACCATGCCTGGCTCAGAGAAATTTATAATGATCTGTGATACACTGGACAAGAATGGTTTTGTTTTAAGTACAGATTTTTTAAAAACTGGTTAGATGGCTCATATGGCCACAAGCAGTCCCAAGCAATTTAACACCTCCTCTGGCCTCCGTGGGCATCCCATGCATGTGGCATACATACAGGCAAAACACCCACACTCATAAATATAAACTAATTAACTAATTAATTTAAAACGGGATCACATGAGAAGGCTCAGAAGGTAAAGCACCTGCTGCCAAACCTGATGACCTTAGTTCAACCTCTGACATGCAATGTGATGGACATAAAGAACCAATGCCTGACCTTTCCTCCACATGCACTCTGTGACATACATGCACACACACACACACACACACACACACACACACACACACACCACCTGAGTGTGTGTTTAAAACATGGCGTACTTTGTGACTTGTCTAAGGGCCGGTAATCTGTTCTTTGTTCTTCCATTCCACCACCACCCCTTCTTTTTATTTAAGATGAGGTCTGACTGTCACTCTGGCTGGCCTGGAACTCATGGAGATCCCTTTGCCTCTGCCTCCCAAGCTCTGGGACTAAAGGCATACACCACCTTACCTGGCAGACCTTCCTTCCTCCCTCTCTCCCTCTCACTGTATTTCAAGACCCGGGTTTCTCTAGAACAGCTCTGGCTGTCCTGGAATTCACCCTGTAGACCAGGCTAGCCTCAAACTCAATCCACCTGCCTCTGCCTCCCAGCAACCTTTTTCTTAAATGATTCTAGTTCTAGTCTGGGTAGTAAGTGAGGTAGAGGGTGTGTGTGTGTGTGTGTGTGTGTGTGTGTGTGTGTGTGTGTGTGTGTGTGTGTGTGAGGTAGAGGGGTGTGTGTGTGTGTGTGTGTGTGTGTGTGTGTGTGTGTGTACACGCACACAAAAAGTATTTGCTTGGTACAGAAGAAATGTTCCCAGTCTCTGGATGTTAAGGATGCTTATATACCTTTAAAAACAAAAACCAGAAGAATCTTATCTTCCCCCATGGTATTTTTAGGACGCTTTGATTGGAAACACTGCATAGAGAACTAACAGCCTGGGGTTTCACTGCAATAGCCACCACAGTACTTAAAACTCTTGATCCTGATATACTAAAATGACAACTCCATTTGACATGAGTCACCACCAAATGAGCATGACTCTGTTACTAAGGATCTGGCCCAAATTAGAATGAGTGCGTCAGGATGGTGAAGGGCTTCTTGTATCCAATGAGAAAAACAACTCCTCTTTTTCCCTATATAGGAAAAGTTTGTTATAAATCCTCACCCACCAATAAAATGTCTTCCCACACAGAATGTTCAAAAGCTCAGCCCTCTGGAACACAGGATAAAGACACTTGAGTGCATATGCCCTGGAGAGAACAGGAGGCAGGGCTGCTTCCCAACAGGAATAGCTACTTTCCCCCCATGCAGTAAGCAGCACATGGAAGCTTGACAAGGAGGACCCTGAAGCGAGTGGAGAACCATTGGCAGGACAGAGACCCAGCACCGTGACCGAGCAAGCAAGGGACACATGGTCAGGAGGTGTCTCACACTGCTTAATACAGATTACTCCCACCCCCAGGCTCACCTTGTCCCCAAGCTGAGAGCCAGCAGCCTCCAGAGAGGCAGGGCCTAGCAGAGTGCTGATCCCCAAGGCTGAAGAAGGCTGAAGTCAACTTGGGTTTTCTTGTGTAGCCCCACCTCTACCCGTGGATCCTAGTAGTTACTATAGTTACTTTGTTATTAATCCAAGATTAGGGCTCAAGGTAGATACTACCAGATAGTTCGGTGTTATCTTTTCATTAATTCCAAGCCTCACTATTGCTTTGCAGCATAACTGTAAGATCAGGAAGATGGGACTGGAGAGATGACTTAAGAGGTTAAAAGCACTGGCTGCTCTTCCAGAGGTCCCAAGTTCAATTCTCAGCAACCACATAGTGGCCTACAATCATCTATAATGGGATCTGGTGTGTGTATACATAGTAAATAAATCTCTGAAAAAAAAAAGTGGATCAAGTAATACTCTGATCTTTTCATTGCAAAAGTTCATGTTTGAGTCGTGTGGCATAAGTGTTAATATGTAATCAGTTTTGAAAAGTAAAAAATGTCTTTTTCTATTGCCCCCCCCAGCTAAAAGACCAACATAGAGTGCTATAGATAATTATGTTCCATTGCCCAGTATGATAGACATATGGTTTTGTTTGTTTTACTTTTAGACTTTAATATAAAACCCCTCAATTTCATTCTGAGTAAGATGCTTAGGTCTGTCTTTTCTTTCTATTAAGAGAAAGTCAGTTCAAGAATCATCTAATGATTCTCCCTCTCCAGAGGAAATATTCCCTGGAGATACACACTGACCACTGCCTACTGCCTACTCGTGCAGAATGAAATGTATGGAAGTAATCCCACTTTGTTTCCTTTTAAAAACTTTTCATTTCACCATCTCTAGATCTTGTCTTCAAGAGTGCTTAGAGAAGTTGTCCAAGTTTGAGGCTGACACGAAGTGGGGGAAAAAAGAAGCAAAACTCACCTGTCAAATCCAGCAGCAATTATAGAAAGGGGCCAGAAAACCACAGTCTGAGTTTCCTTTACAGTGAATCACTGTGCCCCGCAAAATGACTCCTCAGGAGGGAACTGGATTTAGAATTGAGCAGAGTCCAGCAAGGTAGCTCGAGAGAGAGAGGGACAGAGAGAGAGAGGGACAGAGAGAGAGAGACAGAGACAGAAACAGAGAGACAGAGACAGACTGCGCACAGTTTAGATAAGGTGAATCCAGAAAGAGAAAAGGCCAGACTAGCCCTTCAACCACAGAGACTGGATTGAACTCAGCTGGCACACTTGTAGCTGGCATTCACAAGTACGTGGGCATACCTCCCTGGCTGCCTTCTGCACAAACCGCTCATCTGTGACACGGAAGGCCCGACAGAGAGCCTCAGCAGGATCATGGGGGAACATCTCCTGGCGCACTAAGTTAACATGTAGGTGAACGGAGGCATAAATGGCAGCGTCCACTCCCCCGTGGCCATCAAACACTGCAAAGTAAGCTTGTTCTTCCTGGTCCTGTCAATGGAGACACAAAACAGTTAAGGAAAGGGGCACAGTACCATCCAAATGAGCTGTCCTGGAAACGGTCTATCCTCTGCTGCTTTTGTCATTCAATGATGAGACTAAACGCTTCCCTTTGCTGAGTACCTGTGATGCAAGGGCATCTGTGTTTACACACAGAGCCCTGGAACACATCATGCCCAATTAGTGCAGGCTGGAGCGCCCTCTCTGTGAAACGTGTTGCCTTGTACCATGGAAACCACCCACATGCATTTGCTTCAAAATCATAGTTAGAGGTGTGAGGAGGAAGAGTAAAGAAGGTATGGGGAAGAAGTGAGCAAAATACCAGAGAACAATAGCAAATAATTGGCTTTCCAGCACAAGGCCAGTGTGTTCAGGTTGTCTAAAATACATAGAGATAAAAACACACAAGTGATGCCTCTTTCCCATGCCATTCCTGGTCACATTGAGTTCCTACCATAAATAGTAGTCTCTAAATTTGTTAACCAGTCTTGAACCACATCAGATGTCCAAGTGCCCTGTGTGGCTGGCAACTTGGCTTCAGCTCCAATCTAAGCTTCAGTGTCTCGTTTCTCATGAAGGCTAGCTGCCAGCATTGACCCTTCTGCCCTCTATTGTGTCTTGAGTTCACTTTTCAAGTGCCAAATAGTTGGCTGCTGTCTTCATTTTCAGCTTAGATGTTTGAATTGAGACCTGTTGGTGATCTCTAAGTCACTCAAGTTTCACTGGTTACTAAGCTCCTTTATGCAGCAGTAGCTAATGACTTCATTTGTGAGTCTACATTGTTTTTTCCTTGGGAGTCTGGGTTCTGTCACAGACATCTGAACAGAACTTTTCTTTGGGGGATGTTTTTGTTTGTGTGCTTGCTTGCTTTAGGTTCTTGGTTTAATTTTTTTTTTTAAAAATCTTATTTATCAATTTTTAAAATTTTTTTAATCTTATTTGTTTGTTTGTTTGTTTTGCGGCAGTGTCATGTAGCCCAGGTTGAGTTCAGATGTGCTGAAGGGATGCCTCATTCTCCTGTTCCGCCCTCACACCTGTGTCACACAGAGAGCTGACCAGTGCTTTGAAAATCTCTCTATCAAAAGCACTGCATGTATATCCTTCGAATAATAGTGACACTCAAATGGTGAAGTCCATATCTCCTTTCAGGCACTACCTCTACAATTTATAGTGCCACAGAAGATTGACTAAATAGAATTGTCTAGAAATAATCCTGACACAATTTCAAATTACTTAGTACTACATAAGAAAACACAGCAGCCAGGCGGAGTCTTTGGAGAAGTATAAAGTCAGGGTTCTGTTAATTATGAAGTCTTAGTACCTGTGATGCTTCAGGTTCGACTCCCAGCACTGCACAAACTTTTTTTAAAAACAGTGTAGTTTCTTAAAGGAAAAAAAATGTACTAATGATAATTAAAGTAATAAAAATAAAGAAAATAAATACCACTGTGACCCCACTATTATAGATAACCCTCTATCTATATCTATCTATATATTTGTGGCTTATGGGGTTTTTTTTGTTTTTTTGTTGTTGTTGTTTTTTGGTGATGGTGTTTATTAGGACTTTGGGTATATGAGACAAACATTCTACATCTGGATGTGCGTGCGTGTGTGTGTGCGTGCTTTGGTTTCTGGCACAGGGTCTTGCCTTACAGCCATCCATCTGCCTCAGCCTCTAAAGTACTGGATTACAGGTGTACTGGCTCCATATTTTTAAAATAAGGATTATACTATATATGAAATTTTATGCCCTGCTTTATGTCATTAGGATTTCTGCATGTCACTAAGTATTATTCAAAGATATTATCTTAAATAGATTATGAGACATATCTTCTTTAATGATTTTAAGATCATTTCTGATTTATTTTTATTAATGATGTTAAAACACTTAACAATCACAAATTTATTTCTGTTGTGATGAAGAATTTTAAATGAAATGAAGTTATCAGATTAAAGATATGAGAATTTGCAAAGCTCTAAAGAATCATAGCTGAACAGCCTTCCATACCTGCTTTGGTGCATCAAGGGGACTGTTTCTGAGCTAAGCCTTTGACTAGTTTTCATATTTGTAGACAAAATGAAAACCAACCAAGTCAAAATCCTGAACAGCATCCTTCAAATCTAAGTGTACTCTTCAAGTAGGTGTAATTTTATGGGGACTGTTTGGGAAGTAGCCTTTGGGTTCTATTTGCACAGACACAGCACTGGTAACAATTTTAGCAGCTACTGTTACCACTGCTCTTCAGCCCTCTACAGTCAGCTGAAGTTTAAAGTTAGCTGCTAAGTGAAGGAAATATTATGCTGGGTATAAATTACTACACTGCAATTTTCAAGTTATGGACTTAAAAGAGGAAAGAAAAGGTGAGTGACAGGCAGAGCAAACAAGCCCACCTTTGTTTGCATTAGCGTAATGCATTTAATAGAAATGGAGAAGATAGCAAGAAAATGGTGATTAAGCTGACAAGGCTCATATGGATCTAATCTGTCAGTCACAGAGATTTGTAGAATGTGATTCCAACTACTACCTATCTCAGAGACCCAGATTTGAAAAAGAATATCACATGAAATCAAATTGTCTCAGCCTTAAATTTATTCTTTTATGTTGTGTTTTTTGTTGTTGTTGTTGCTTCAGCAAGATGGTATTTTGAGAATTCAATAAGTCACTTGATTTTACTACAGAAATATTCTTCTTTTAATAAAGTGTTATTTTGATATATTTTCTTTGGTTGCTAATAAAATAGCTTTAGAAGCTTCCAAAGTAACTGGTAACTCTCCTTGCTTTCCTGGATAGGAACTGGCTGTCCAGAAGAGGTTTTTACTCTCCCAATTTTGAACCATATGAATCTATTAAAAATAACATAATGTTCCCAATTTGGAATGATTTGAACTTACTCAAAATAACCAAATAGTTCTATTTTCTAATGCAGTGAGCCTCCCTCCGTACTATGAGTGACAGTTAGGACACCAGTCCTTTTCGAACAGGACCTTGTGCCAACTCCAGAATGCCTTTACCTCTAGGTTGAAGAGCATATTAAAGTCAGGGATGCAGACATGTTTGTCCTCCATTTTCCTTCGCATGTTTTTGATGGCGTGGATTGATGTTTCATAGTAAATCTGAGGCCTCCTGCGCAGTGGGAAGTCCTTCACCCAGCTGCAGCAAATCTCGTGTAGTTTGCTGAAGACAGAACGGGCCAATTTCACTGTCTCGATTTCTGTAAAGGAAACAGACCCCACTGAAGAGCCATGTAACACTGCTCTCCACTCCCCTACTTGGTAGGGACATAAGTGGTCACCCTAGTCATGTCCTTCTCAATTCAAGGAAAAGGAACACTGTTTCTGAAGAAATGACTGCCTACCTACTAGAAAGCCATCAGCTGCCACCAAGCTCACCCTCTGTGGCAGGAGATTAGGCTTGTCACAGCATCATCTCCAGCCCTCTGCCCTCTAGGCCAGAGCACCCCTTCACTGTGTCACCTGGAGAGCTAAGCCTTCTAGACTCAGAAGAACATCTGAATGATGAGCACTGGTTATTCAGCCAATGGGACAGGAAAGGCAATGAAAACAGCTGGCAGACTGCTGGCTCTCTCTTGCTTCCTCTTCCTGATCTCATGTTTTCTCTACTGTAACAAACGGACCATCATTTGGAACTGAGTTATATATTTTCTTTGAAATATTTATTATTAAAGTTTTAGACAGTAGTTTAGCCAATAGGCTAACTAATATATTAAAGGTTTATTTATTCACAGCAACCTGAATTCTATCAGTGTTTATATGGGAGTCTTCACCTAAGTGTACTACTTTGATTTTTTAAAAAAATATTACTATTATTATTATTATTATTATTATTATTATTATTATTATTATTATTATTATTATTATTATTATTATTATTATTATTATTATTATTATTATTATTATTATTATTATTATTATTATTATTAGGGTCTTCTTATGTAGCTCTGTCCTAGAACTCACTCTATAGATCTGGCTGACCTCAAACTCACAGAGATCCACCTGCCTCTGCCTACCGAGTTCTGAATAAAGATGTGCGCCACCATGGCAAGCTTTATTTTCATTTATTTATTTATTTACTTATTTATTTATTAAGTCAGAGTCTTGCTGTGTAGTTCAAGCTGGTCTTGGCCTTGAATTCGTGACAGTCTATTGTTTACACCTGGCTTACATCACCTTTTAACTAGTTTGACCCATCAATTAACATCTGGCAGCTAAAGCAGACTTCTGATATTGGCACATGACCATTGTGCACTGGAGAGACTGTATCTAACATCTCTAACCATCTATTCAGGCTGTCTTCCACTCAGTTTGCAGCTACTCAACCAGAAGATGAGGTTTCCAGTACTGTAGATGTTCCTCTAGAAAGTTGTTTGACTAAATCAGACACAGCTTGACAGCCTGAGGAAGTGTGTGGCAGACGGGCAATGGCTACAGATGCTTCCTGCAGCCTAGAACAGAAATCCCAAAGTAGAGAGACTATGTGTTCCTCAGCAGCATGGAACTTGGACTCCTATTTCTTCATTTCCAATCGTGTTTTATCCTTGAATCTGTGACTCTTACGCATTTCTACTCTTACGCATAATTCTTACATGATTTTTCCTTGTTTTGTAGTGTCAGGGCTAGAACTTGGGGCCCTGTACATACCACACAGCACTGTGCACACACTATCTTTTTGAAGCAGAATCCCCCTATAGAGCCCAAGCTGGCCTCAAACTCAGGATCCTTCTGCTGTAGCTCCCAAGTGCTGGAGTTAGCTTCCCAAGTTGCAAATCGTCCATCCAGCACAAACTCCCTCACCCCTTTTCTGAGCAGGGTCTTGGTTCTCAGGCTGTCCTGGTCTCAAGTTCATTCTCATTCTGCCTCAGCATTCTGAGTACTGGATTATAGGTGTCAGCCACCTCATCCAAATCAATTTTTTAGTTATTATATTCAGGAAGCTAATCTCAAAGATTTTATTTCTGTTTTTCTTTGTTATTAATATACAACAGTCCTAGTTAGTGGCTTTTGAGCCCTTTAACATTCTTCTGTGTTTTTTGCTTGTTTGTTTTGAGACAGGCTGCTTCTGGGCTCTCCAGCGCTGTAATTTATGGGTAGGCAGCACCATAACCAGCTTCCCCTTCCCAATTTTATGTTACTGAAAAACAAGGGTATATTTGAAAGAGAAATGAAGTTCAAAGAGCAAATACCCCCTGAGGAGTTATAAACAAGAAATGAACAAGCCAATAAACAGCCAAATATTTCTCTTGCTTTAAGCAACTCAAGACAGGGTTCTCTGTGTAGCTCTGGCTGTCCTGGAACTCACTCTGTAGACCAGGCTGGACTTGAACTCACAGAGATCTGCCTGCCTCTGCCTCCCAAGTGTTGGGATTAAAGGCATGCATGTTTGTTCTTTTTAAGAACTATCTCCCATAGTGGCTACAGCAAGAAAGACACACACACACCCTTGCAGACCTGAAATGAGTGTGTCCTTATTTGACACAGTCACAAAAAAAGCATTACAAAACAAATGAATCCAGAATCTTCCAGGAGAACTGGACTGGGTGAAATTAATGACATGTTCCCAGAATCTGAGTTAAAAACATAAACTTCATCATTCTTGGATTTGCTTATTACTGTCATTATGTACAGCCACATGCCAGGGGATGGAGAAGGGGCTCAGTAGTTAAGGGCACTGGCTGCTCTTACAGAGGACCCACGTCCAGTTCCCACTAACACAGAAGCTGACAGCCACCTGAAATTCAATTCCAGAGGCTCCAGCACCTTCTTCTAGCCTTTGAGAAATAGACACATGCATACATGAAAGCACAAAATTCATATATAAGAGATAAGCAAATAAATATTGGTGCTGAAGAGATAAGATAGTTCAGCAGTTAAGAAATACTGCTCTTGGAGAGCATCCAGGTTTGGTCCCCAGCTCCAACATGGCAGCTCACAACCACCTGGAACTCCAATTCCAAAGGTTCCAATACCCTCTTCTGGTCTCTGAGGGTACCACAAATGAAGGGTATGTGCAGGCAAAACACCCATACATAAAACACCCAAAATAATAAATATTTTTAAAACATAAGGTTGTTTTCTTGCAAGTGTTGGATGACTGGGTATGGCCCTTGAAGTCCGTCTTGTCCAGAACTTATGTAAGTTAAGACAGGGTCTCTTGCTGGATCTGGAGCTTACTGGCTCCATGAGGCCAGCTGGCAGTGAGCTCCAGGAGTTTCCTGTTTCTACTTGTCCAACACTGGAGTTACAGAGGCAGACCACCGTGCTCAGCTTTGACACAGTTGGGGTTTGACTCAGATCCTTAGGCTTGCATGTTCCTGAATGAGGCACCTTCCCAACCCTTTACCATTAACTTTGAAAGATGTAATTTAACCAGGCATGGTAGCCCTAGCCCTGTAATCCTCTCACTAAAGAGGTGGAATCAGGAGTATCAGGACCAAGGCCAGCCTCTACCACAGAGTAAATTTGGGGCCAGCCTGAGCTACATAAAATCCTTTCAGAAAAAGCCAAAAAATAATAATTTTTTTAAAGGGCTAGAGGAATGGCTCAGTGGGTTGAAAGCACTGGCTGCTCTTCCAGGGACCCAGGTTCAATTCCCAGCGCCCACATGGCAACTCACAACTGTCTGTAACTTCAGTTCCAGGGGATCTGATGCCCTCTTCTTGCCTCCATGGGCACTTTAAGTGTGTGGTGCACAGAAATACATACAGACAAAACACTCATATACATGAAACTTTAAAAAATATTTTAAAATAATAATAAAAGGGTTTTTTGAAACAAAGCAAAAAGAGGTTTGAAAAGGCATTTCAGTGGGGACCTCACTGCGTGTGTAGAGGCCCTACCCAGTATACTGCTCTCCACTGTAATGAGTGGGCCAACAGTGTCCCTGTAGAGTTCTTAAGGGGTTGATTGACCCTTTCACAGGGTCACCTAAGACCACTGGAAAACACAGATATTTACATTCAATTCATAACAGTAGTAAAATTACAGTTATGAAGTAGCAACAAAAAGAATTTCATGTCTGGGGGTCCCCACAACGTGAGGGTGCACTAAAGGGCCACCGCATCAGGAAGGGTGAGAAACGCTGCTCTACACCCTCATGCCGTTATTCTTGCTGAAAGTATAAGGAATCTGCAGATAGTTGAGAATCTCAACAGCATAGAGACATTTGTCAATAATCACCTAGGGGGGAGAAAAGTCTAATAGTGTGACCAGTGACATCCACTAAAAAAAAAAGTCTTTTCATTTTACTTTTGTCACCTTGTAGGGCTCAAACATTCTCCAGCCCTGAGACAGTCTCCAGCAGGAGTGCTACAGAGCATTAGTATATAAATAATAGCCACTTGAGATGGAGAAATAAAACAAAATAAGGGGCGTGAAAAAGTGAAAGCCATCCAAGTAGCAGTCCACCCCCTCACAGCTGTAAATTACTCTTCAGTCGATAATGTCACTGTGCCGAGCTGGAGCTGAGTCAGCCATCACCCCATCACCCCATCACCCTGCTGCACTGCAGCAGGGTGGAATCTCCCGTCTCTTCATTCTAAGGGATGCGCTGAGCACATCAGCATCACAGGAGACACTGCTTTGTAGAAGGGATTCTGTTCAGTTTGGCTCTAGGACAGCTTGGTTCTAGGTGAGTCAGTTATTTCCAGTTAAAAACAAGCAGCAGTTCCCTCCTGGACAGTTTTCACAGTCTAGAGAGACAGGAGGAATGGGAATGCTGCACAGTCTCCGGACTGTCTTTCTAATTGTAACAATGCTTTGTTCCTCGTGTGCCATGGTGATGGGCAAATGCTATGAAAAGAATAGATAGGCGAGGCATGGTGACACACACTGTGACCCCAGCACTCAGGAGACCATGGTGGGGTCAAAGGCCAGCCTAAGGCTACATAGTTGATGCCTTGTCTCAAAGCTATTAAATACCAACAAAATATTACCCTTAAAAAGTTTGGAGTAGTGAGCAAGGGATGTTACACAGTTGATAGAGCACATACTTAGTATGTAAGATAGCACCACAAATAGATTTTATAAAAATAGTTTCTTTAGCTGCTTTCAAATATGTATAAGCCCAGTGCATTAACTGGAGGCCAGTGTGGCAGCGACACATGCCTCTAACCTAGCTGTTTGTGTTGCTGGGTGGAAGGATAGCAAATTTCGGGCCAACCTGGGCAATTCAGCAAGACCCTCTTGCAGAACTCTGTGTGTGTGTGTGTGTGTGTGTGTGTGTGTGTGTGTGTGTCTGGAGATGTCACTCAGAAGTAGAGCATCATGTCCAAGGCCCTGGGCTCAGTTCTGCTGGTGTCAGGGGTGAGTGTGGGTGTGAATGTTGCTATCAGCAAAGATACACAATGATAGATGCAAATAAATAACATTACATATCTGTCAGATCTATGCATTAGTAGATAACATAACAAGATTGATGAGTTTTGTTATAACTGACTTTTTAAAATTTTTTATATGCTTTTCCCTGTATTCAAGAAAAGCTAACCCTCTTAAAAAGATAGGGTACCTTCAGAGTAGTGCAGCCATGAATAAACAAGATATTTTGAACAGGTTTTCCTCAAACTTTTTCTCAACTTACTTTATTATACATCAAACTTTTTAAAAATTGAGACAAGGTCCTAGCCTGAGCCTGTCTAGAACACCTAAACTCAAGTGCCCTTCCCACCTGCGCCTCCCAAGTAGCTGGGACTGCAGGTCCATGCTACTGAGCCAACACCACCATCTATCTAGACATCAATGGCAATTTCTTGTTTCCAGTACTTTTCCATGTACTGGAAACAAGTTTCCAGTTTACCGCTTAGATATATAGTTGATTTTTTTCTTCTTGCCTCTTTTTATTGATTTTTAAGAAAAAAAAAAACACCTCCTGAATATTACTATGTAGTCACTAGTGGGTCTATGTAATTGGATTTAATATGCCATAGATATTTTTTTGTAGAGCACTATCCACAAGACAGTTTGTTTAAACAAATAATGGGGAAAGGTGCTTACCCACAGTCCCTTCTGTGCCATCTGTTTCCTTTGGGATATAGTGAGCAGAAAGGTCACTCTGGAGGACTTCATCTGATGTGGCTCTGGCTAAAGCGGCAGCCAGAAAGGAAGGGCAGTTACTGCAAGAGAAGCAAAGGCTATCCTCAGTAAGAGCGTGGGAGGGATGCTGTAATGGACCACAGCACACACCATAAGTGTATACCCCAGAACTGTCCCTTACATCCAATAAATGACTTGAGTAGACAGGTGGTACACAAGTAAACCAAAAGGATACAATTTGAAAGTGAGATATGCTTTATGAAAGGAACCGTACAGCGACCCTACAGTGGTACACACCTTGAGTGGCCTTAAATACAGCAGATTGAGGTTAGTTTTGTTTTTTTTGTTGTTGTTGTTTTTGTTTGTTTTTTTGGGGGGGGTTTCGAGACAGGGTTTCCCTGTGGCTTTGGAGGCTGTCCTGCTCTTGTAGACCAGGCTGGCCTCGAACTCACAGAGATCCGCCTGCCTCTGCCTTCCGAGTGCTGGGATTAAAGGCGTGCACCACCACCGCCCGGCTGGTTTTGGTTTTTTAAGACAGGGTTTCTCTGTGTAACACTAATGGCATTCCTGGAACTCACTCTGTAGACCAGGCTGGCCTCAAACTCATGGAGATCTGCCTGCCCTCTGCCTCCTGAGTGCTGGGATTAAAGGTGTGTGCCACCACCACCTGGCAAAAGTTTGAGTTATGAGGAAATGGAAAGGTGGAATGAAGTACTTCACAGTAACATGTGGACAGGCTATAAGAGCTTGGGAGGAGTCACAGAAATTTTTGAGCATGGAAGCACCACCATGAGATATGAACTAAAATATTCCCTTGATTTACTGGGCAAGGAAATCAGAATGTAGCAAGAATAAAAGAAGATGGGCAGTCAGTGCATTGTGAGAATCCATGAAAGGAAGGAAGGATGAGAAGAACATGAGTAAGAGTATGGGGGGTGGAGCACGGAGGAGGGGCATGAAGAGGAGCAGGACGAAGATGCTGTAGAACTTGCTAGCCAATTGCTTTGCCATGGAGTCCCAGCCACAGGCTCTGTGCTATTTTAGAGCTTTGTCATTCACGTAGTCTGTTGTTACTCTTCTTTTACATGTGGTGAAACCTGGAAACGACTGTCTTTCATTTTTTGGGTTTTTTGGTTTTTGTTTTTTGTTTTTTTATGTAAAATAGGCTCTTTGGCTATCCTGGCTTCTTGCTTTCTTCCTCTCTCCCCTTCTAGATTGCTTGCTCTTGGAACCCAGCAGCCATACAGTGAGGAAGCCCAAACCAGCCAACTTGGAGAAGCAGCATGCACAGGGTCACATGGATATGAACTGAGGCCCCTTCCCCCAGCCAGCAGTCACCATCAGCTGCCTGACGTGTAAGTGCACAGAGCTTCAGACAGCACCAGTCTCCAGCCTGAGGCTTCAGATGTCATGGAACAGAAATGGGAACACCATTGTGCCAGTCTGAAATCCTGAGCAAAAGAAACTATAGTATAATAAATAACTTTATTATGCCACTAAGTCTTGTCATAATTCGTTTGGTAGCCACTATAACTGAAAACCCAGTATTTTAAAGCTTGCTAGAAGATAGAAACCTATAGAGACTAAAAAGAACTAGGTATGGTAGCGCATAATCCCAGAACTTCAGAGGCAGACAGGCTGTCTGCGAGTCGGTCCAGCCTGACCTACAGAGTGTGCTCCAGGCTAGCCAGGGCTACACAGTGAGACTCTGTCTCGAAACATAACACCCCCCCAAAAAAAAGACTGAAAAAAAAAAAGAGGAACTCTTAAGAGGAGAGTCAGGGAATTGAGAGTTTGAAGGAGGGAATGGCTGCTAAGGGGGTCAAATGTGGAAGAAAAGGAATATTTAATCTAATAGCATGCAAATAAAGTCATCACTGATTGGGTACCAAGGCAATTTAATGGGAGGGAAAACATCTCAAAAAACAAAAATACCAGGGGAAAAAAATAAGTTTGATCCCATATATAAAAACACCAATTCAAATTGCATGGGGGCTGCCCAGTGATAGAATGCACAGACCCTGAGTTCAGAGAGGAGTGGCAGCAAGCATTCATATGACGTCAGACACTGGGACTCTGTATATTGCTGAGTGAGTACAGAATGATGCATCTGCTTTGGCAGCACCCTGAAATTCAAATAAAGTTATTGTGTGGCTCAGCAATTCTTATCCTAGGTACATGCCTTGAAGACGAAAGCACATGTCCACACAAAGGCTTGTATATGGATGCGTATCACAGCAAAAATAAAATGCAGCAGATACAGAATGCAATATATTTTAATACTTACTTTATGGGAACGGGTGCTTTGCCAGCATATATATGTGTACCATGTATGTGTCTGGTGCTTGCAAAGGTCAGAAGAGAGTATCTGATCCTTTGGACACAGATTTGCAGATGGTTATGAGCCACCATGTGGGCATTTGGAATTAAACCCAGGTGTTCTTAGACTGCCCTGCCATCTCTGCAGAACCTCTGAGTGGAGTATCTTCTAGCCATTAAAAGGAGAAAAGCACTTACACATGCATCATCTAGGTGAACCTTGAAAATATGGTAGCAGAAGACTGCACTAAAGACCACATATTGTAGAATTGTGGTTATACGAAAAGCCTATATTAGGTAAATTGGTAGAAACAGAAGTGGTGCTTCAGGGATGAAGTCCAATCTATACATGGAAACACCAGCCTTTGATAGGATGAAGAGTGCCTTAGATGGAAAAAGAAGAAAGGACCCGGGTGGTGGTGCAACACCTTTAATCCCAGCACTCAGGAGACAGAGGCAGACCTCTGAGTTTGGGTCCAGCCTGGTCTACAGTGTGTGACAGCTAGGGTTATGCAGAGAAACTCTGTCTCAAAATGGAGAGGGGGGAGGAAGGAGAAGGGAAGGGAGCAGGCAAGCAGTTAGTGTATGTGCAGGTTGGCTTTTTCTTTTGCTATTAGGGAAGTAAGGGCATCCCATCTAACAGTGTGACTAAGTACCCCTGGCAGGTGCTTTTTTGGGGCCTGCATGCCCGTGCCAGGCAGTATTCTACTGCTTAAGAAATATATGAACAGGAACTGGAAACCCCTGCCCTCCTAGTGCTTATGCCAGAGGGAGGTTTCTCAATGAAATCTGAAGCTAGATCAGCTCTCAAACCTTTCCAGGCATGAGAATCACCTATGGATCTTGTTAAAATATCAAAGGATTATGGGGCCCTCCCACTGAGGTTCTAACTCCACAGGCCTGTGAGGCCCGTAATCTTCATTTCTGACAAATCCCTGGAGAAGCTAGACAGTGCTAAGTGACTGGTGACGTTTGAGACACTGCAAGTGCGTAGTTCCTCCCATCTGTATTCCTGCACTAGCATGTGTGCAGATAAAGAGCGTCTTGTTTGCCAAGATTTGGGGTTTATAGGGTGGCACAGTGAGGTGGAGACAAGACATAGGAATTGCATATCTTTATGGAATGATGTAATGGTGGATCTTTGAAACAATAGATTTTGCAAACCAGTGTGGTCTAAATGGAAATGAAGAGTTGTGGGTGAGAGTACTTGGGTTCAAAGTCTAGGACACCTGTTATAGTCTGAGAGCAGGATGCCTGTGTGGACCATCTTAATTAGAAAGGTCAGATGAGGCCAGAGACCTGGTTCAGAAACATGGAATTGCAGCACTTATACTCCAGACCTCTGAGGGAAGATGGGTTTTCAAATTTCCTTTCTCATTCCTTAGTGCCTCTCTCTCAGCATGTCTGGACACTAGTAATATGAGCTTCAGCTCTGCTATTCAATAGTTTTTATATAGGCATGAAAGTAAATATGTTTTGGCTCTATGATCCATAGTGTGCTGGTGCTCTCTCTCTCTCTCTCTCTCTCTCTCTCTCTCTCTCTCTCTCTCTCTCTCTCTCTCTCTCTCTCTCCCTCTCTCTCTCCCCCCTCCCTCGTCTCCTCATTGGATTTGGGGGTCGATGTTTTGGCCAGTCTGATTGGCTAGTGACAGTCAGAGGTCTGTCTATGTGGCTCCAACACTGAGATTTCAGGCACATGCCAACACACCTGGCTTTCACCACAGATTCTGGGAATGAACCTCAAGTCCTCATACTTGCAGATACTCTCTGAGCTCTCATCAGAACTTTTTTAAATTGCAGGGTATGATCCTTAATGAATAATGAAATCATTGGAGTTGTGACCTGTTTGTCTGTTTTAACAGCATTGGGCATTGACCTAGGGCTTCTTGGCTTCTTGCAAGCTAAGCAAGTGCTCTCATCACTCTTTAGCCCTTTTTCATAAGAAACAAACAAGCAAAAAAAAAAAAAAAAAAAAAAAAAACCCAACCCCAAAAGCCATAAAACCATTCATTCATTCATTCATTCATTCATTCATCTATTTGGTGGGGGTGGGGTGGGATGCAAGTGCCATGGTGTGGAGGTCAGGGGACAACCGGCGGGAGTTAATTCTCCTTCTACCATGTGGGTTCTGGGGATAGAACCCAGGTTGTCAAGCTTGGTTGGCTTAAGCCCTAAGCCAGTGGTTCTCAACCTGAGGGTCATGACCTCTTATACATAATTTGTAACAGTAGCAACATTACAGTTGTGAAATAGCAACAAAAAGAATTTTATGGATGGGGGTGACCACAACATGAGGAACTGTATTCAGGGCTGCAGCATTAGGAAGGTTGAGACCCACTGGTCTTGCAGACCTTAATTTTTATTTTGACATGAGGTCTCACTACACGGCCCAAACAGGCCCTGAATTTGAGAGCTTCCTGAGCAGCAGGGGTTTCAGGCCTGCACCATCACACCTGTTGTAACTAGCTTGCCTCTGCTCTGCTTTGTTCTGGTTGTAGTTCTGAGTGTGGCCTCCAGCTCCTTACATGGTAGGCAAGCACCACAGCCGAGCTAAGGAGTGTTCCAGGTGTGCTGGAGGTTACTTCTCATGTCTACTGCTCCTTAACAGCTGTGAAATGAAGGGCCAATGCTGTATAAATAGTATCGCCTCATGTCCTCCATTGCTGTCCAGATTACTGACCTTCGCATGGGAGTCAAAGGCCCCGGTCCCCATATCCTGTATGCTTTTACTTTGACCTACTCAGTTCTTTTCTTTGTTTCT